GTTTCTGGAAAGAACCTCCTGCACATCTGCTCAAGAGGGCAGATACCCGATCCTGACCACAAGCTGGGACATTCACTGCCTCTTTGTNACTTAAAGAGGCAATAAAGAGAAAAAGACTCTTGATAGTTTATAAAAAGCTGTCACACCTCCGTGTTCTGTATCATGGCATGCGGAAGGGTGGGGCTCCCTGGGCTGGAATGGGTCCTGGCACCAGCCAGGATCTCTTGAGTAATTGATTCATGGAACTGACTCACTCATTTAGGTATAGGTGCAACTTCTGGTCTGTTTTTCCTAAAAAAAAAAAAAAAAAAAATACTCCCCATCCCCATCACTTTGGCCCACTTTGTGCACACAGGAATGAGCTCAAGGAAGGTGCAAGCAAGCAGCCATTGATCAAGTCCTAAGACATATGGGAAACAACACGTCACAGAATAAGAAGTCACAGTTGGGGGTTAGGGTCCTGTTTTCCCCCCACTTTGCCATTTTGCTCATTGAGCAGCACTGATTCCTCCTTCAGAGAAGATGCTGGGTGAGGGAGGACAGTCACTGTGTGACAGGAATTCGGGATCTACGGTGGCATCGTGTAATGCCCATCTCCAGCCTCCTTATACGTAAGTCAGCCATAGCCAGCCGCTTACTGACTCCCATCTATACATCAGTTCTCTCGTTTATCCTTCATTCATTTATTCAATACCAAGCTACCACCCCGTGCCAGGTATAAAAACTGTCCCTTTTCTAAAGTTCTTGGGATGTAACATCCAGCACCCCAACCCTACCCTCTCCCAGCTCTCCTGAGCGCTGTTCTAAAGAGAGCTCTCTGGGCAGCCCTGCCATCCCACCAGTGCCCAGAAGGTGGCAGCAAACAGTCTGAGAGAAGCTCAAAAGGTGACCTGGCAGAGGAGGGTGGGGTGGAGGTGGGTGGGGATCACCTGCAGAGGAAGTGCTGCCCTGTTTCTGGAAAGAACCTCCTGCACGTCTGCTCAAGAGGGCAGATACCCAGGTGGGTGGGGATCACCTGCAGAGGAAGTGCTGCCCTGTTTCTGGAAAGAACCTCCTGCACATCTGCTCAAGAGGGCAGATACCCGATCCTGACCACAAGCTGGGACATTCACTGCCTCTTTGTCTTCATGAATTGGCAAGGACAATTGGTTACAAGTAAGGCCTTGGCTTAAATGCTGGCTTAAAACTAGGATGCAGGGAATGGACCAGAACCAGGGAGTGTATCTCATCTTGGCAGCTCATGTAGCAGGCTCATTCTTGTCTCCTCTGCAGACCGGGCTCTCCCATTCCTCAGAGTGGGAAACATGGCTATAGCAGATTGGAACGTACCTGTTCCAGGCTCAGCCAGCCAGGAAGATTTCTAAATTCCAGGGAAAGGGATTTGTTGGATTAGCTTGGCTTGGGTCTAGTGCCTACCTTGGGACCAGTAAGTGGTGACAACTACAGGCACAGTGCTAGACAGTCACCAAGTGGCCTGGGACAGTTGCTGGAAGCTGGGAGATCCTCCCAAGTACAGAACTACTGGAATGAGCTTAGTTGGCAAGGTCAGCCACACAGAGGATGTTCTCTGTCCTTCCATGGGTGATGGTTGTGATTGGATGCCAGGGTGGTGTGCACAGCTCCTGCCTCACTGTAGCAGGTGAATTTGGTTGGTGACCCTCCCCAGTCCCAGGGCACTCACCTTTCTATACACACAGCTTGGTGGAGTTCAGTTGCAAGGACCTACGACTCTGCCTGAGGGAGCAGCCCTTATGCAGGACTGATGGGAATTAGTGGGCAAATTCCCCAGCTCCTGCCCCTGGCAGGGGGAACAGATCTGAAGTGTATCCTACACTGATTCGCCAAGCTCCCCAGGGGGTTGAGTCACAGTTGCACACAGTATGGGCCTGTTTGATGATGCACTTTGATTGACAGCTGCCTTCTCCTCCCAGTCTCAGGCTCCACTCCCTTACCAGTGTTTTCCAGAATCACTGCACTGCTTTTGCTCCATTCCAGGTGACCCTGCAGCTGGAGTCACCCCAAAAGGGGTGTCAGGGGAATTCTCACAAAGGAGTGCCTTGAAATGTCCCAAGATGGAACTGGTTGGGATTCCAAAGAAAGATGCACTGAATGCCAGGGTAATCAGTCCAAAGCATTTGTTAGAGGAACTTAGAGTGCTGCAGTGCATCCTCGTGTTGGATAGCAAGAAAAGGATGTTCCACCTAGGGATGTCTGCAGAGAGGGGGTAGGGTATGGGGTTTATACAATGGTTTGAGGAATTTGGTTCAGGGCCAGTGCCAGTTTCTTTCAGTGTTTTGCAACAATCTAGATACCCCCCTTATCAGTACCTGGAAATGTTCAAGGCTCCGGCGTGGGCTCCAGCCTGCAGGAGAAATGCAGCTGGCCTGTCCCAGAGTGATCAAGGTGCTCTGGACACAAAAAGAAAGTGGGGGGAATGGGGAGCCCTACAGCTTTATACCCCCAAATCCTTGTCTCTGGGTCTGCCTCTGGGGACCAACCCAAGACCCTTGCAGCCTTCACGGGCAGGTTTCCTAGATGAGTGGTGAGGAGACTTTGAAAGATAAATGCATACACCTTTCCATGCAATTGTAACCTTTTCTCTAAAAATAGAACTCTTTATTTACACAGTTGAGGTAAAAAATGCCAACAAGCATGAGGATATCATTCAAATATGATATAAACATCGAACAAAATTAGAAATAAATACGAATATGTAAGAACAATGTACAGTATAATCTTCTCAGTACGCTAAAGAATTATGCAAGTGGCCTTAGTCCACTTTTCTCTTCGTGTCCGTCGAGTGTGGTCCCAGCCCACACTGTGCAGTTCCCAGCTGCTGGGGACGTGAAAGGGCTTTGTAAACAAAGTGCCGAGCACCCACGATGAGTTACTACATTGATTACTCTGCCCTTTCCTGATGCTTCCCACATTTTTTTGTTAATGACTTCCTGGCTGTGAAGCAACTGGAATTTAGCATTACTAAAATACTCAGGCTATATCAGAAATTGAACTTGGAAAAAAATTCTTAAAAAATCCCACAAGGTTTAAGAATAGAAGTCAAGTGGTTATTTAATACAAGCCTAAGACAATAGTGCTCATAGCTCTTAGTTTTTTGAAATTACCTCCATGAAGCAGCTCAGCTGGGTCCCAGAAAGGACATCAGCCTTGGTGTGAGCTTTTCCCTGGGAGCTGGCCCTGGGCCAGAGCCTTCAGTCTGTCCATGGTTTCAGTTTGTTCTTCCTACTTGGGGCTCACTGATGCGGACAAGCTTTGTTGCAGGAAAAAGCCCCGAGGAGACACGTGTGTGTGTGTGTGTGTGTGTGTGTGTGTGTGTGTACGTGCATGTGTGCACATGTGCCCCAGCAGTGGTGCAGGTCTCCTGCCAGCTTAGTGACCCTTACAAATCCTGGCTGAGACCTACATACTTTGTTAACATGGCCAAGGGGTCAGGTGTTGGCCCGGCTGGACAGAGACCAAAGAGCTCACCCTCGGGAACATACACAGTAAGTCATTAGGCAGCACTGCTGGGTGACCTTGGGCAAGGGTCTTGGCCACTCTGGACCTCAGCTTTTTCATTTGAAACAAGATAGGTGTTCAAATAAAAAACTGGCAGGCTACTCTCTGTAAATCAGGGCACAGTGAGGCTGCTCTGGTTGAAGTGGGGGGATCCTATAGCCCCATGGCCCCCCTTCCCCACCCCCTGCCCCACAACTGAAAGCGCAAGGCCTTTTGGGAACATGGTTTGAAAACCTCTGGGCCCTCGAGAAGCATTTCCAGATCTGTCATTTAATGCTATACCCTCATGTTGGCCTCAAAACACCACAGCTCTGTGGGTAAAGTGGCAGTGAAGATGCTTTCTTCACAAATGAGGAAACAGAAGTTCTGGCAGGTTAAATGGCAGGGCCCAGGTCACAAGATGGTTCAGCCTCCCGGCCATGAAAGACAAAAATCTTGGTCCTATGGGTGAAAACTCAGCTAAGCTCGTCCTTATACAGGTGGGTATAGGTTAACTGAGGACATGTCACTACCCCCAGGTAAGGACAGTCACCTGTTTCCAGAAGACATAGTTTCTCATAACTGGAAGGGAAAATGGGACTTCTTTAAGGTCAAAATAGTCAACCGAAGGGTCTAAAGTGCTGTCCAAAACAGAGATTACAGGCCCAGAAGTCCAGTCCCTGCCACGTCCCTCTCCCTCCTCAACATATTGGACTCCTACGAGGTGGACCAGTTGGTTCTTTCCTTGGGAAGCAGAGTTCCCATCACTGAGAAAAGGGAGAGGGACCAGGGTCCCCTTGGTTGGGGCTCTGGCTTCTGAGAGCTCAGGCTCCTGACCAGGAGGTGCAGGGCAGCGAGGGTGGAAGGGAAGGGGGAAGACTAGAGGTGAGACAGGTTGAAAGGTGAGTGCTCCCAGTCGCTCTGGGTTTAGGGGTCACAGGTGGGACATGCCTCAGGGTCTCCTCGGAGCCTGGGCAGATGGGCAGTCGTGCCGGCCACCACATGGAGAGCATCAATGACACCTCTGAGACCTTCCTGATCCCTTACCGCACCCCAGGTGTAACTGCGAGCGAGGAAACTGAGGTACAGAGAAGGAAAGTGGCTTACCCACAGGCACACACCTGGTAACAAGCAGAGCCGGGAGGTGAACTCAGGTCTGTCCGATATTAAGACCTGTGCAGAGCCATGACTCCAGGGATTTGGATGGTGACTGCCATTTCCCTTCCCCTCCAATACCCTCAACCAGCTGGATTTTTCTTTATGGAGCCCACCCAGGGGGCCCATCTTGCAGCTCAGGCTGAAGCGGGTGGGCTGTGGGAAGGTTGGCATCTTGCTGCCCAACCCACCGACAAACAGCCTCCAGGTGGCGCTCCCCGAAGTGCCACAAGGACCGGCCACCGCTGCAGTGAGGGTCGGAGGCTCTAAGTCTCGGTGGTGTCTTGGGTCCTCGGGAAGCCCAGTAGCTGTGGCAGCAGCACCAGATTCGGTGGAAAGCGGGGGACAGCTCACCTGGCCATGTAATGCCCCAGCATCCTGCCCCTGACCTCGGTCCTGTCGGTGCCCTCAGCCTCCCAGCTGCCAGTGCCACTGTCCTCAGTTTCTGATTCTCTCCCACGCTCTTCGTCCTCCTCCTCCTCTGGGCTGATGTCCCAGCCGAAGGTCAGTGTCTGGAGAGAAACTGGGGGCTCCCCAGGGAACAGATTCAGCTCTGGGGATGAAGAGCCCCAGGTGGTCCCAAAGGAAAGGTCATCTTCTAGGTGCTTTTCAAGGGAACCTGAGTCCTCGGAGAGTTCAGGTAGGAGAGGCTCCTGATGCCTGTCCCCACCTGGCCCACGGCCTGGTGCCTTCTTGGCCCCATAACCAGAGGACCCAGCCTCATCCCAGGGGGAGGAGTCCACAGTGCTGGCCCAGCTTCTGTCTGAAGAATCCCAAGCAGAGGAGCCTTCAAGCTGGACCAGGGGAGTCCAGGGCCCCACTGAGTCCACCCCCTCAGCCTCACAGTGCCCTGGAACCCGGTGCTCTTGCCGCAGGAAGGTGTGTGATTCAATGTAGGGCTGGAAGCTGATGCTGTCTGTGTCCTCATCCTCCTCGTCCTCAGCTCTGTCCTTTTCCACTCCTGCCTGTGGGGTGGCTGGGGCCCTGACTCCAGGGCTCAGCCTGACCCTTCTGGTCAGTTCCTTCTGGGGACACAGGAATAAGTCATCTGGGGACTCTGGTCCACTGGGCTGAAAGGTTGCCATGGTGGGTCTGTGTCCAGAAAAGTTCTGATTTGGGGAGAGGAGAGAAGAGAAGACAATTCAGGCTTTCCTGAGTCACAATTGTGTGAATTTGGGTTTTCCTGGAAACAGACCTGAGACAGGGTTCAAGAATACATAGTTTCTTTGGGAGGTGATCCCGGAAACACCAGGAAGGGAGTGGGCAAGTCGGGGGGGGGAGCCTCCAGGTAGGGGGCTGTTATCCAGCAAATTCCCACCAGGGCAGTGGGAGCTGGATCCTGCTGGGACTCGGGGAGCCACTGTGACACACGCACCTCAGAGCTGTCTCACTGAGGGGAGCAGCACCCGGGATATTTACCCACCAGCTCCCGTCAGCCACCGCTGAGGGCTGTAAGGGCTGGCAGGGGTGCTAACTCCATGACACTTGCAGCCTGCTCTCTCAAAGCCTGAGAAAGCACCAGAGTGCAGGTGCCAGGTGCCAGAAGGCTACGGCACGGGACAAGATGCAGATGTGTCTACCAGAGGTCGCCATCCAGACAGTTAATGGGATATCTCTGGCCCCCCTACCTCCACCGTCCCGGAGCCAGGAACTTTGAAAATCCTCCCCTCGCCACCCTGCCATGCTATGGGGACACTCAGAATCTATTCTTAAAGCCCCTGCTCCCATCGGAGGGTCTACTGAGCCTCGTCTACAGCCAAGCTTCAACTGCCAAGCCCTCATGTGAACAAATCTGACCTGTCTGGCCTCTCCAGGCTCCCCCAGCCCCAGCTGTCCCCAGATTCTAAGGTTGTGAATCAGCAGACAAGTGAAGAAATTCCACGGTCGGGCTGTACAAGGCTCATTCTTGGTTAAATGGTGAAGTATGTGTTGGGACCCTTCTAAGACTTCCTCTTTTGGTGCCACCCTCTCCCTCTCCCCTTCTGGGCATCTCTCCGGAGTCCCAAGGCTGGGGACTCTGCTCTCAGCACCTGATGGATCCTTAGCAGAGGTGCAGTTATTTCACTAAAGGACTTACGGCCTTTCTCCCTCCCAGGCATATTTGCTACTTTATTTGGTGCTAAACAAATGTATTACTTGTGATAGAAATTTACACACGAGGATGGGAGGTGTTCTGCAGTCTGGACCAACTTGGTATTCTACCTGATCTACCCATAACTCGAACCCCACTTCCCTTTGGTGCTAAACAAATGTATTACTTGTGATAGAAATTTACACACGAGGATGGGAGGTGTTCCGCAGTCTGGACCAACTTGGTATTCTACCTGATCTACCCATAACTCGAACCCCACTTCCTTACTCTCAGCACCCTCCCCACACCCCCAGATTTGCCATACCAGGGCTCGTGGTGTCTTTGCCCGCTGAAACCAGGGGTTCCCGATGAGGCTCTTCCAGATCACACCCCCTGTGACAATTACTAACAGCAGTAGCAGAACTGATGGCAGCACCAGGAATGCCCAGTTGGCTCCTAAGGAAGGAAAAATAACAAGAACTACAGAAATAACAATGGCTCCCGTCTATCAACTGCATATGTGCTGAGTGCTTCACGTATATTATCCTATTTAATCCTCGTAAGAATACACCCATCCTACAGACTGTGGAAACCAGGGTTCAGAAGGGTTATGTAAGCTGCCCAAAGACACACAGGAGCGTAGCGGAGCTGGGATTTTAATCTAGGTGAGTCTGTCTCTAGACACGTGCTCTTAACCGTGTCATGAAGCTCCTGAGGCCCGGGGTCCCTGCTTCTGTACCACTGCACGCTCACCTGGGGCCTCCAGAAAGAAGCAGGTGGGCTTAGAGAACTCGCTGTATCTGGGAACAGTGAAGATGTAGAGGGTTCTGGCGCTGAGGCAGTGGTGTCCACTGGTGCCTGGCTGGAGGGGGATCTGGACTGGCTGGCCATGGGGAGTGGCTGGAAATAGGGTCTGTTTGGAAAAAGAAGCAGAGATGAGCAGAGATGCTGTGGGGACTGGTTCCATACAGCCAGGACAGGACAGGCTCGGCAGGCAGGGTAGGGTTGTGATCCCCGAACCTTGTTTTCTTTCCCTGCATTGAAGTTCAAGTGTTGAGGGAGCATTTCCCAACACTCCTTGGTTTCTTTTCAACTGAGTCTTGAGGTAGGGATGGCTGGAGTCCAAAAGCAACCAACCACCCGGTATCACTCTTGCGTGCACCCACCATGGCCTGCGAGTCCCCATTTTGAAGGGCAGTTATCTCAGGCCTCCCAGTCTATTGGGGGGTGGGGGGTCCTTCAGCCATCACAGGCACAGAAAACTCTACAGCTGCATTGTCGAATACAGCAGGCACTGGCTACATGTGGCTGCTGAACACTTGAGATGTGGCCGGTCCAATCTGAGATGTGCTCTAAGTACAAAATACACATCAGATTTCAGAGATCCAGTGAAAAAAGAATGTAAACAATCTCAATAATTCTTATATTAATTACATGTTGAAATGATAACATTCTATTAGATGTAATAAACTCTGTTATTAAAATTAAATTCACCTGTTTCTTTTTACTTAATTTAATGTGGAACACTTAACATTATGCATGTGGCTTGCATTACATTTCTGTTGGACAGTGCTCATCTAGAATATTTATGAGGTTCCTGAAGACATAAACCACACTGGATTCAGATCTATATACTGAGGGTCAGAAGCATGCAGGAGATCAGGAGTGTGGATGTTAGTTTAGTGGAAGGAAGAGTGAACGAGAGCAGAAGTCGGTAAACTACAGCCTGTGGGCCACGTTTAGCCTGCCACCTGTTTTGTAAACAGTTTTACTGGAAGACAGCAATGTCCACTCATGTACATATTGTCTATGCCTCCGTTTGTACTACAATTGCATTGATATGGCCCAGAACACATGGCTCACAAAGCCAAAAATATCTACTATCTGGCCCTTTGCAGAAAAAGTTTGCCAACCCTTGCCGTAAGTAAATAAATGCAGGCATACTCACATGTGCACACAGAAAACAACTCTGAAATTAGATATGCACTAGTTATTCATGGTCATCTCAGGGTATTTTTGGTTTGCTTCTTAGCGCTTATCTGTATTTTCTGATTTTCCTGTAATGAATCTGATGACTTGGCAAGTTGGCCTCCTATAGCCCATCACATTTCAACCAGATTTTATTGAAAAACAGAAAGGAGGGGTTTGTAATTTTAAAGAGATATTAGGTAGAAAATGGCTGTGCTGTTGCCACCTGTGCTGGGTGGGGCAGGATGCCCTGTACTTAGTCTCTTTGGTGGAAAAGGGCAAGGGTGGGCCACAGGCCAACCACACAGTGCACAAGTCAGGGGCTGACTGCCAGGAGTCTGGGGTATATGGGGAAGGCTTCCTGGGGGAGGCATGCAGGGAGCAGGCTGGGAAGGTGAAGCAAACCTGGGTTTGGTGGGGCAGGAGGGGGTGTGTGTTGAGGGGAGGAGAGGGGATTTAGTCTGGGGACAGGAAAGGGGCTTCCCACCTTGTTTCTGGTCCCTTCCTTCCAGAATTGCACCTCATACTTCAGATCCAGTGGCGGTGTGCAGGGTGGCAGCTGGTATGTGGCACTTGCACTCAGGATCTCCTCCGTCAGGGTGAACACCAGGACGGGTGGGGCTGGCTCCACTGGCAGAAACAGATCAGGACCTGTCAGTACCCCCTGGGGGGTCACGCTGCTTCCACCCAGACCAGAGGGCTCTCTTGCAAAGGGAAAAGCAACACTTGCATTTGTCAAACACCTACTGTGCAGGAAGCACCTTACAGCCACTTTGCTTAAGCCCTGGACTGACTCTGGGAAGGAACTATCTCCATTTCCACTTTACAGAAGGGGAAACTGAGGCTTAGAGAAGTGAAATGACCTGGCTAAGTGCACAGCTGACCTGCCTTTACTCATGCTGTCCCTTCCACCTCAGTGTCCTTCACTTGTCCCTGGCCTGTCAGAATCCTGCCCATCTGGATTAGTTTCCTATTGCTGCCATAATAAATGACCCAACACAAACTTATTATCTCACAGTTCTATAGGTCGGAAGTCCAGGTGGGCTCAACTGGTTCTTCTGCTCTGGGTCTCACATCTGGAACCTCTGGGGGAGAACACACTTCCAAGCTCACTCAGGTTGTTGGCAGAATTCAGTTCTTTGTGGATGTAGGGACGAGATCCCTATTACCTTGCTGGTTGTTAGCCGGGAGCCTCTCTCAGGTTCTGAAGGCACGTGCATTTCTTATCACATTGCCTTTCCATCTTCAAACCAGAAACGGCACAATCGAGTCTTCTTCACACTTCACATCTCTCTAACTTCCCCTTTGGCTACATCTCTTCTGCCTCCAGCTGGAGAAAATTCTCTGCTTTTAAGGGTTGATGGGATTAGACTGGGCCCATTTGGATAATCCAGGATAATCTCACTGTTTTAAGGTCTATAACCTTAATGAGAATTCCTTTTGCCATGCAATGCTATATTCACCTGCATGCAATATTCACAGGTCCTGGGGATTAGGGTAGAACATCTTGGAGGGTCATTCTGCTTATCATGATCCTCCTTCTGTCACCCCCCCAAATTCATGCTCTTTTCAAATGCAAAATACCCCATCCCAAGGTCCTCAAAGGTTTCATCTCATTGCAGCATCAACTCAAATTCCAAAATCTCATCATCAACAGTATCTAAATCAGATCCAGATGAGACTCTGGGCAAAATCCCATCAGTATGACTCCTGGGGCACAATTTCTACCTGTGGGCCACTAAAACTAAAGAACAAGTCATCTGCTTCCACTATAAAATGGTGGGACAGGCACAGGTAACAGTTATAGACATTCTGGTTCAAACAGGAGGAAATTGAAGGTACAATGGAGTCATTGGCCCAAAGCAGTTTCAAAATCCAGGCAAGCAAACTCTGTTACATTTCAGTAATTCTCCTTGGCTCTTAGCACTGCCCTTTGAGCTCCTGATTCCACCCTCTGAGCCATCCTTCCTTTTTTACTGAAAGTAGCAGGTATTTGCAGCTAAGTAGTTTTTATCAGTTTGTGTCTTGCCAGTAGAAATTGGGGAGTCCAACAGCCTTCTTTTATTTCATAATCTTTGTCCCTTTTAGTCCAAGCTGGCAGTGTTTCTGTGGATATAAATTTCTCAAGAACTGTCTGGGTCTCCTGTGGATGTCATGGGGATCCAGTCCATGAGGCAGAAGCCAGGTCCACCAATCTTTTTTGAGATAAGCCCCTCTCTACTTCTGGCTTCAGCTGAGATGCTGAGGGACAATGCACTTCAGCCTCGTAGAGGTCCCTGGTTTGACTGAGGGGAGCTGTGAGTCATACCCTTAATCTCTTCAAAGAGCCTTTTGTGTGAGAACACTCTGATCTTCTGATCTTTCTGAGGTTTTAGTAAAAGATGGTACAATCACACACTTGGCTGTTTCTCTACGTTACATGTTTGGAAGCTAGCTCTTAACTTTAGAGTCTTCTGCCATCTGGATAGGTTGAGAATTTCCCCAAACTTCAAGTCCTGGTTCCTTTTTGTTTAAGTTCACCCTTAATTTCTCTCTCTCCCCTCCCATTTTACTGTAAGCAGCAAGAAGAAACCAAGTCGTACCTTCAGCACTTTATTTGGAAACCTCCTCAGGTAAATATCCAAGTTCATTGTAAGTTCTGCTTTCCAATGCCTGCAGGACACAGTTCTGCTAAGCTTTCTGTCAGTATATACCAAGGATCCCCTTTCTCAAGTTTTCAGTAACATGTTCCTCACCTTGTGAAGCAGCACCTTTAACCCCCATGATTTCTACTACTAGTCTCTTTACAGCAATTGGGGTATTTTTGAAAGAGACTTAGGCTTTCTCTATGATGCACCTCACTTCCTTCCAGCTCTCCTTAGCAAAGTATTTAATGTCCACATTTCTACTGACACTCTGTTCAAGGCCATCTAGGTTAGCACAATGGTTTGAAGATGAAGGGATCAATGTGATAAGGAATATGGCAGCAAGAGAAAACTAATATGTCATCTCTTAAGTTCTAGCTGAAATGCCACTTCTTCCATGAAGACTTCCCTGACTCCCAGCCAGAAGGGAACTCTGACCACACCTCTAGTCATCTCTGCTGTGGCTTCTTCCTCGGGGTAAACATGTGGCTTCCCCATGATGCCACTACTTATATGTTCAAGAAACAGCTGCTGGGCATTGACTATGTATCAAGTCCTGGGAAGGGTGCTGAGGGGAATGGGGAGATGAGGTCTCCATGGATCCTGACCCATGGGAACTGAAAGCTTAGGGGGAAATGAAATATGTGAACTACCAAAACTCGAGAAAGAAAGTGACCAGGGCCACAGATGAGAGCAGGAAAAGCGCGAAGGGAGTGTAGAGGCAGGAAGGGTCATTCTGGCTTGGGGTGTGCCATCAGAGAATTGGGGGAAATTCAGGGAGAAGGCAAAAAAATTATTATTATTATTATTATTTTTGGTAGTTGGCTAGTACAGGGATTGAACCCTGGGCCTTGGTGTTATCAGCACCACACCCTGACCAACTGAACTAATCCCTCCCACTCCTCTCTTCAAGCCCTATTTTGCCCTCAAACACTTTTGGCCAAAAGAATTAAAAAATTAATCTCCTTCTTGTGTCTTTCCCTTTATTCTTCTAATCTCTTGTTCCGATCTGTCCGACCATTGCAGTGGTCCGTCCATCATTCTGCTGCCCAGACAGCCTTCCTGCCTGACGTCTCATCCTTTCCTTCCCATCCACCCATCCTTTCCAAACATCCTTTCCTTCTTCCCAATCATCCTTCTTTCCAACCAACATTCCTTCCTTCCTATTCATTTTCTCTCATTCACCTATGCTTCCTTCTTCTAGCCAATCGGCCATCTTTTCTACTCATCCATTCATTCTTCTTTTCTTTCCTGTCTGTTCATCCTTCCTTCTTGTTTTTTCTTTCCTTCCCTTCCTGGATGTCCAGGCTTTCTTCTATACTATCTACCCACTGATCCACCCATCTGCTTTTCCTTCCATGATAATTAATTTTATGTGTCCACTCGACTAGGCTAAGCGTTGCCCAGATAGCTAGCAACACATTATTTCTGGGCGTGTCTGTGAAGGCATTTCTGGAAGAGATTAGCATTTGAATCTGTAGACTGAATAAAGAAGATCCATGCTCAGCAATGTGGGTGTGCATCATCCAATCAGTGGAGGTCCCGAACAGAACAAAAAGAAGGAAGAGTGGAAAATTCGCTCTCTCTTCTCGAGCTGGTACATCATTGTCTCTTGCCCTCGGACATTGGAGCTCCTAGGTCTTGAGCCTTCAGACTCTGGGACTTATACCAGTGTCCCCAGCCTTCCATCTCTGGTTCCCAGGCCTTTGGCCTCAGTCTGGGAGCCTTCAGGCTCGAACTGAATTGCACCCCCAGCTTTCCTGGTTCTCAAGCCCGCAGCAGCAGATGGTGGGACTTCTTGACCTCCATAATTGCATAAGCCAATTCCCGTAATAAATCTCCTCTTATTATATTTATAGATATCCTATCGCTTCTGTTTCTCTAGAGAACCTTGACTAATACACCTTCCTATCCTTCATGTATACTTGTTTCCTTCCTAATAAGCATCTGTCCTTCCATCCAGCCTCCTTCGCATCCTGCCATCTCTTCCTCCAGCATTCTCTCCCTACTTCCTTTCTTCTTACTCATCTATCCTTTTCCTCCTTTTGTCCCTCCACCAGCCAGCTTCTTCCCCTCCAAAGCATCTCTTCTTCCTTCTCTACCAGTCTTTCCTGCCATCCTCTCTTCTCTTCAAGTCCTATTTTGCCCTCAGACACTTTAAGAAGCCTGGGCAGGAGGTTCCAGATCTAAGTTCCGTGAGCATGTTGTGTGGGTCTTCGTCCTCCCCTGGTTGCCGCCTTCCCTTACTATTGAGTCTGGCCTGGTGCCTTGCCCAAGACCAGAAAGAGACAAATTCACATCCAATATCCACCAATGACTGGTGCTGTATCCTGGCAAGTTACTTAACGTTTGTTAGTCTTGCTTTGTTTAAAAAATGGGTTGATAAAAATAAACCTCACAGGTTTGCTGTAAGGATTAGCAATAAAATATATTGGAAAAAAAAATGCTCTCCTTACCCAGTGTTAACTCATGATTTCTAGAGGTAAGCATGGGGGATTTTTTTCTATTTTTATCTTCTATCCTCCCATCCCCCAAATTTCTACAGTGGAAAGAAAATACTTTTGCAACTAGAAATTTTTTAGATTGTTTCTTAAAAAGAGAAGTTGAACAATAATAATAAAAAGAAAAGGAATGAGTATATTAAGTGCCTTGTGTAACTCATGACCAAGGTGGTGCTCGACAGAAGATAATGAACATTGTCAGTAGGAGGGACAAGCTGCATCGCTGCACTGGCTGGAGCTCCCCTAACTCCCTGACATGATGTCAGGCTGCCACACACCGCCCAGGCTGTTGCCGGTCCCCTGCTGCTTCTCACCAAGGCAGGCCCCAGGGCTGGAACCCATGGTGGGCTGCCCCAGAGAGCTGCCCTCTGCTTTGGGGAAGTGGGAGGCAGATGGTTAGGACAGCTGCATCACTGAGCAGAGTTCCTAGATGGAGAGCCTCCCACTCCATCCTTACCCACAGACCTACCTTCAAAAAGGTAATCCAGGTACTTGGATTCCACCCAGCGGGACCTGGAGCTGGGAGAAGCCGCCCGTACACGTGCCTTGAGCTTGTTGTACAGGTCCTGCTTCTCCAGGCACATCAGGGAACACACCAGCTCCTTTGTTCCTGCACACCTTTCCACTTTCCGCCACCGTTTGGGGGTGGAAGAGCTGAGGGGAGGAGACAGGAGAGCTTGGGCCGTGAAGTCAGCCTCTCAGAGTGAGAGAACTTAGAGAACATGTGACTATTCATCCCTCCACTCAGCCTCATTGCCCCTCGGTCCACCTGTCCAGCCAGGCAGCCACTGGGTGGGGCAGAGTAAGAACAGTCTGGTTAGGAGGTCAGGTTCTGGAGCAAGATGGACATCTATAGGAATCCTGGCTCTGCCCCTCATTAACTCTGGGACCTCAGGCAGGTCACTGCCCCTAAGCCTCAGTCTCCTCATCTGGAATGCCTCCCTCATAGGGCTATTGTGGTAGCTTCTACATGTTTCTTCATTCAGGCATTTATAGGCCACCAGCTGTATGCCAGGCACCATGCTGGGTGCTGTGTGGATAACAGAGGGGAACCTGCAGGTCCGTGACTCCAACCTCCTGAGAACACTGAGGTCAGAGAAGAGACCTGAGCAGCAGGCATTATTCTGAGCACTGGTGAACTGGCAATGTGTGACAGATGAGGTCCTGCCCTCAGGAACTTATGTCTGGGGGGAGGGGGATAAGAGACAATAATCATATCAACGAGATGGATCGAGGAGGTGCTGAGTGCAGTGAGAGTGACTGCTTTCAAAAGGTGGCTCCAAAAAGGCCGGGAAGGTAGTATGGAAGCTGAGGCCTTGGTGATAAGAAAAGGCAGGCAGGTGAAGTTGTGGAGGAAGAAACACAAAAGCAAAAGCCCTGTGATGGGAAGGAGCCTCACCTGTCCAGAAAGAAGCGAGAAGGCCGCGTGGCTGAAACCAGTGGGCAAGGGACGGGGAGGGGTGGACAGGGCAGAGATGAGGCTAGAAAGGAAGGTGGAAGGATCCTGCAAGGAGTTTGGATTTATTCCAAGTGTGATGAGGATCCACTGGAAGGTTTTGAATAGCGGGACTGCTATAGTTTGAATATACAAGCATGTGACCCTCCAAAATTCATATGCTGAAACTTAAACTCCAAGGTAATGGTGTTAAGAGGTGGAGGCTTTTGGGAAGTGATTGAGTCATGAGGGCTTTACTCTTGTGAATGGGATTAATGCCCTTGTAAAAGAGGTTTCAGAGCGCTGCCCGGCCCTTCCTTCTCTTCCTCCATGTGAGGACTCAAGGAGAAGGCACCGTCTTGGAAGCAGACAACAGCCCCCGCCAGATGCTGAATCTGCTGGCACCTTGACCTTGGACTGCCAAGTCTCCAGAGCTTTGAGAAATAAATTGCTATTATTTATAACTTACTCAGTCTAAGGTATTTTGTTAAAGCAGAACAAATGGACTAAGACAAGGACCGAGGTGGTCTAACTTAGATTTTTAAAAGATCACTCTGGTCAACCAGGAGGCTGCAGCCATAGGCAAGAGAGAGCGGTGGCAGAAATGATGAGAAATGGTTGGATTCAGGATATATTTTGTAGATAAAACTGATAGAACTTGATCATAGATTGGATGTAGACTGCGAGGAAAATGCGAATCAAGGATGGCCCCTGGGTTTGGGGACTGAGCAGTGGGTGAATGAAGAAAGCTGAGACAGAGATGGGCAACGACAGATCTGGGAGAAGAATCAATTTGTCTGTTTTGTTTCTTGCTGGAAAGAGCTTTCTATGTAATCATTAACAAGCAAGGAACTGGTGTAGTTATATTAATAGGAGACGAAAGATAGACCTCAAAGTCCAAAGCAATGCTGGAGACGTAAAAAATCAGTACGTGATGAAAAATGATTCTATTCAGGGCCGGCCCGGTGGCACACTGCTACACTGCGCCGCTTGGGAGCACAGCAGTGCTCCCGCCAAGGGTTTGGATCCCACATACAGAGCGGCCGCTCACTGGCTGAGCTAGGTGTGGGCGCAACACCGAGGGTTGCAATCCCTTTGCCGGTCCCGGTCCGGTACAGGCGCGACACTGAGGGTTGCGATCCGTTGCCGGTCACGAAAAAAGACAAAAAGGAAAAAAAAAATGATTCTATTCACCAGGAAGATGGAAAAATTCTACCTTATATGTGCTTACTAAGCAACTTAACACCTCTATAAGGCAAACACAGACAAAACTACATGAAGAAATTGAAAATCCACAATTATAATGAGGAATTTTTAATATACCTCACTCAGTAACTGATGATTGGGCAGAGAAAAAAGTTAGTAAATATAATTTAAAAAGAACAATATAATTATTAACTTGGTTAATGACATTTATAGAACTGAACAAATGGGTTGAGCCACACATAAACTGTTAACAAAATATTAACAAAAATAAAATACTTCTCAAGAAATGTCAAAGAGGAAGTATCTTACAAACTATTTTCTCTGACTGCAAATATCCCAGTTAAAAATCGATAACAAAAAGAGAATTAAAGGAAGTTTGAAAATTGAAAAATAACTCATGGATCAGAGAAAGAATTATGGGAATTAGTAAATAGCTAAAACTGAATGATCACAAAAATAATACAATAAAAACTTATGAGATACAGCTAAGTAATACTTAGAGGAAAACATATAGCTTCAAATACATACAACAGAAAACAAGAAAGGATAGAAATTAACAAGCTAAGCAATTAAGAAGTCAGAAAAAGTGCCACAGAGACTTATCCACGAACAAGTCAAAACTGTCACCCACTACTTTAACATGGGCTAAAAGACATTAAAAAATTATTTAAGACACGAAAAAACAACACAGAACAGAATCAGAGAAATTCAGAGAGGAAGTGACAAAACACAGGAAAGATATTTTAAAGATTTTTTTTAAAAAAGCAAAACTTATTTCAGAAATGAAGAATAAATCAGAAGGAATATGAGCAAATTAACAGAATAGATAATGCCTTAAAAGAAACAGAAGATGGGCCGGCCCGGTGGTGCACTGCTACAGTGCGCCGCTTGGGAAGCGCGGCGGCGCTCCCACCCAAGGGTTCGGATCCCACATACAGACCGGTTCCCGCTCACTGGCTGAGCGAGGTGCGGGCGCAGCAATGAGGGTTGCGATCCCATTGCCGGTCCCGGTCCGGTACGGGTGCAACACTGAGGGTTGCGGTCCGTTGCCGGGCACGAAAAAAGGGGAAAAAAAAAAAAAAAGAAACAGAAGATGGGCCGGCCCGGTGGTGCACTGCTACAGTGCGCCGCTTGGGAAGCGCGGCGGCGCTCCCACCCAAGGGTTCGGATCCCACATACAGACCGGTTCCCGCTCACTGGCTGAGCGAGGTGCGGGCGCAGCAATGAGGGTTGCGATCCCATTGCCGGTCCCGGTCCGGTACGGGTGCAACACTGAGGGTTGCGGTCCGTTGCCGGGCACGAAAAAAGGGGAAAAAAAAAAAAAAAGAAACAGAAGATGGGCCGGCCCGGTGGTGCACTGCTACAGTGCGCCGCTTGGGAAGCGCGGCGGCGCTCCCACCCAAGGGTTCGGATCCCACATACAGACCGGTTCCCGCTCACTGGCTGAGCGAGGTGCGGGCGCAGCAATGAGGGTTGCGATCCCATTGCCGGTCCCGGTCCGGTACGGGTGCAACACTGAGGGTTGCGGTCCGTTGCCGGGCACGAAAAAAGGGGAAAAAAAAAAAAAAAAAAAAGAAACAGAAGATGAAAAGAAGGAAAGTTTTAAAAATTAAAAAGAAACTGAAACATCAAAGCTAAAATTATAAAACTTCTAGAAGAAAGCAAAGAAGAAAATCTTCATGACCTCGGGTGAGGCAAATGTTGCTTGGGACACCAAAAGCCTTAACCATAGAAGAAAAAAAAATCTGATGTACTAGTCTGCTAGGGCTGCCATGACAAAATACCACAGACAGGTGGCTTAAACAACAGAAATCTGGAGCCTAGAAGTCTAAGATCAAGGCATTGGCAGGTTTCATTTCCTCTGAGGCCTCTCTCCTTGGCTTGCAGATGGCCTTTTCTCTCTGAGTGTGTACTCCTGGTGTCTCTTCCTTTTTTTTCCCCTGTCCTCTTCTTATAAGGACATCAGACCTATTGAATTAGGGTCCCACTCTTATGACATCATTTAACCTTAACTACCTCTTTAAAGGCACTGTCTCCAACTATAGTCACACTGGATGTTAAGGCTTCAGCACATGAATTTTTGGGGCAAGCCTATCTCCCCCTCAGTTTCAGCAGGCCAGGCTGCTGCTGCCCAGTGCCTCAGGGGTGGGGCTGCAACCCAGGGCAAAGAGGGTGAAGCTGCCACCCTAGTGAGCTTGGAGGGCAAAACATTGAGCCAAAAACAATTCTTCCTGAGCCTTAACATCTAATGAAATTTGCCTTGCCAGGTTTTGGGCTTGCTGGAACATGTTACTCTTTCCTTCTTTCCTATTTTTCTCTTCTGGAAGAGGAAAGTCTATCCTGTGCCTGTCCCACCATTTCATTTTGGAAGCACATAACTTGTCTAGTTTCACAGATTCATAGGTGAAGAGAAATTTTGCCTCAGGATGAATCATACCTCAAGTCATACCCATACCTAATTTAGACTTTGGACTTAGAGTAAATGCTGTTGGGATGGGGGTGAATGTAATTTGCATTTGAAAAGGACATGAATTTGGAGAGTCTCAAGGGTAGAGCATATGGCAGTCCTAGCAAACTAATACACTCTCCAAACTGGAAATCACTCAAATATCCATCGATGGGGAAAATGGATGAAGAAATGGTAGTACAAGTCAAAATGGAATACTATTCAGCAATAAAAGGGAATGAACTAGTAATACATGAAACAATGTGGGCGAATTTCAGAAACATTATGCTAAATAAAAGCAGCCAGACACAAAAGGGGTGCATGTTATATAAATCTATTTATATGAAATTCTGGAACATACAAAATGAATGGGAATTGAACGCAAAGTGGCATGAGGGAACTTTTTGGGGTGATGGACGTACTTTAGATCTTGATTGTGGTGGTGGTTACATGGGTATATACATTTGTCAAAACTCATCAAACTATATACTTTAAAATGGGAGCATTTTAGTCTATATAAATTTAAACTCAATAGTGTTGATTTTAAGAGAAAAATGGAATTCATTCAACAAGGCTATGATAAAAAATGTGCATTCTCAGTTAAAAACATGTCAGCTAAAAGGGGACTAGAGTCTAAGGAAAAACAAATCTAACCAAGATAAAGAATACGAATGAGATATTGAATAATTTCAAACATGGAAGCACACATAGTTTTTAAAAAATCAAGAGTGAAATCTATTCCATTTAGAGAACAGAATAAATAAATAAATAAATAAATAAGTAGGATTTGAGAGAAAAACACAAAAATTGAAGACAGAAAAAGAAGACTCAACATACAGATGATATGTGTCCCCGAAGAAGAAAATCAAAGCCAGGGAACAGGAAAAATACCAAAAACAATTCCTTAAGAAAACTTTCCTGAAACAAAAACGTCTTATAACTATGTATTTATAAAGAATTTTGAGTGCCTAAAAATATCAACCCAGGAGGAATGACCAACACCAACACATAGTAGAGTAAAATTACTAGATTTTAAAGAAACAACTCTTTGGACAAAAAAAAGCAAGTGACTTATAGGAGGCTACTATATATATTTTGGGATAAACAAAATGAATGATGAGTAATTATGGTCATTCTAATTCTATTTTTCCCCATGTCCTTGAGAACCAGGATTCTCAGCATGAAAGAGAAAATACAGATATAATATAGAAGAGGTTAAGTAGAAATCCTAAGGCGCTGCATTTAGATCGAAAGCATCAGCATGAACTCATTAGGCGCTTTGTCTTACGGAGCAGGTATACATGTGTGTCTCTGTGATGTATCTATCTCTGTTCACTGAGAAGGCCTAAAAGCAATGGCTAAGAAGTGATCAGCACAGCTAACACACAGAATGTGCTTTTTAAAACCATTTTCTACTAATGGAGAAGTGGCTGATTGCAGGTTTTAGGTTAGGCATTGTACAAGATAAGTCTGGAACATCTGATCCTAACAGACAGCACGAAATATATCAAAGACTACCAGGATCGAGTTAAAAGGATTCAGGAGCCAACTTAAAGGGACTTGCTGGCCAAAGATTGGGCAATTCAAGGTTCAATGAATAGATTAAGTTACAATGGATTGAAACCATCAGATATGTTTAAATACTTGATTTCGTAATAATTTAAAAAACTAATTGGTCACCTTTGGTAGATGATAGGGAACCAATTCATTATCTTTTTTTTTTTGTCTTTTTCCGTGTCCGGCATCGGATCGCAACCCTCAGTGTCGACCCCGTACCGGACCGGGACCGGCAACGGGATCGCAACCCTCGGTGTTGCTCCCGCGCCTCGCTCAGCCAGTGAGCAGGAACCGGTCTGTATGTGGGATCCGAACCCTCGGCGGGAGCGCCGCCGTGCTTCCCAAGTGGCACACTATCCAGTGCGCCACCGGGCCGGCCCCCGGAGT